TATTCTCATTTAAATTGATGGGGAAAATATGTATCAATTTATCAAAGGAGAATAATAATATAATGTGTGTTTTTTAAATATTGGTGGTTCCGTGTCAAATTTAATGATTTTCAAATCACTTTAATTTTTTCTTTTACATAGTGTGCTTTTATTGTGCTGCAGCGAGGTGTACGCGTAAAACCAAACGATCAAAATTTGACGTATTTGACTCTAAAAGATCGATGTACTAATGGGTTAAAACTACAGATTGCGTGCTTCTTGGTTTTTTTCCCTCTTTTATTCATTCTTGCAGTTTCTGTTGGCACAACTGCGGCTTATTGAGATTAATATCGCTTGGAAAAGGTTTTACAAATATTTGTCACGTTTTAAAAATATAAATGTTTTCAAAATGTAGTAATTATATCGTAAAGAAAAAATTAAAAAATAAAAAAAAAGTACCTATACACATATAGGGTATGTTGTACATCAAATATTTTAAGGATAGAAATAAAACCAATTATTCACCAATGACAATTTAAAAAGATGATTCAAAAGGAGAAAGGAATTACATTTCATTTAGAAAATGAGCAACCATAACAACACCTCCTTCTCTATGACTTTCTCATTTCCATATTGTCAATATAATTTTACATACGGACTAAAATATGACGCTTGGACCAAGTCACCGTTGCTCATTTTACGCGTGGGCGTAAACTACTGGACAAAAAAGGTGCGCGGACAAAAAATCGATGACAAAATGTCCTGAAACCGTGGTTCCCGTTAAAAGCGAAAATTCCGATTTTTCGACCGAATTCGACAAAATTCACTTTTTTAAAAAGTTTCCGTGGATCCCTTCTCCCATGGATGGTCACATAAATCCCGATTAAATTATTTTGAACTTGAGCCGTATTCAATAGCACTTGAAATATCATGTGTCAAATTAAAATTAAACATGGTAACAATCTTCAATTTTCTTCTCTGCACGGAAACATTTACATCGACACGCCGCTCCTTGTCTACATTTCTGTGTTTCTCGAGCCGGGAAGATGGTCGCAGATTTTTGCCAATTTTAAGTCGCGTAATTTTTCAGAGCAGAGACGTATACAATTTACAAAAAAACGGGGTGTCGCTGAGATCGAAGGCTCTCTTGGTAGTCAAATTTACCGCACCAGTAAACAGATTTGAAATTTAACTTTTATACCACGTTTTCAAAACAGGCTTGTATAATTTACCATAAATTAATATTCGACAGCCACTTTTACTTGCGTTAATTTTTGTTACAACAGAGAGTAGGCACTGAGTCTGAATTGGTTGATCGAAATGAATTAATTTACCAAGTTGAACTAAATGATCCTTTCAACACAAAATTCTTACTGATGAGTTGATTTTTGAAATCGATGCCTATAACTTGTGTACTTCACACAATTTAAGGAGCCATCAAGTTTTGTGGCAATTGAATTCTTACCCCGTCCAACGGTCTATTCAACAGCGTCAAGACTAAACTTATAGAAAGCTTTCGCCAACTCCTCTTGATTAAGTCCCTTCAAATCGCCGTGATACTACAGGCATGACGCACCTGTTGATTCACATAGATTCGATTTGCGACTCAGAGCTCCGAGACGATTTCAGAAACAAGTATCTTCTCTAGTAATTTTTTTGCGTCGCGCTCGACTTAAAGCTGAGAACAGTGACTGACTAACAGTAAATTCTGTAAAATTAAGTCAAAGATTGAATATCACCGCTAAAAGGAAAACAAACCTTTCTTGAATTGTATTTGTTCTCCATGAAATGACCTTTCTATGTTGTTTTTTTTTCATTTTTAGATTTGTGGATTTTTAAAGCTTTAGGCAAATGTTTAATAGACATTTCAATCAGATCAGCCATTTCCACAATATCCACATGTTTTAGATCTGATTTTTTCTAAGCAAAAGATGGATTATAACCCAACTGTCCAACACGCGAGAGTCGCCCTGACTAGTGGCATGGCGCATGGCGTGCTTTGCGATGTATCGATTGATCTGCCATTTGAACCTATGGAAAAGTATCGGTAAACAGGGTGTTAGCAACGATCACGTTAATAATCTATTCTTTATCATAGCTTCCAAGGGGGAAATATCGATACTCGACCATTCACGCCTCGCCACCTTCCCTGACCGGAACTTCCGGCGGTTGGGAGCGGAAATCGTCGCTAACCCGTTCGAATTTTGGGCACTATACAGGGTGATCCAGGGTTGAACGACCAGACTGCCGGAGCCGAAATACTCCCTAACCTCCTCTTTATTAATTGAGATTTCGATATTTTTCGATCATTTTTTAATCCAGGGCATAAATATGCAAGGGAGAACAAATCTTTATGGGACTTGTTTCACAACCGTTGCCAAAATTCGGGATAAACGATTTTATTTTCCGAAATTTTGAAGCACCCGTAGCTCCGACTGGGGGCACGTTTGGAAAAAATACTTTATACAGCAAAAAAGTATTATTTTGACCCATAGATAACGCTCCTGCAGTCTGGACCTTTAACCGTGGATCACCTTGTATTCAGTGCCCGAATGGAGATGTTGCATGTGTGAGGAATTTGCGATTTGACCATTGATTCTTATGTAAAAGTTCGCGAGAAACACGATCGTGCCATTGGTTTTCTCTGAAATCAACTCCCAAGGTCAAAAAAAGCTCTCAAGTTGAGGCCAAAATAGAGGGGATATCCCACCCTACCCTGAGTCTCCACCTCTACATCAAAACAAACTCTCCATGCAAAGATAGGGAGCAAATACATTAGCAGGGTTGCCACTTTATTTGGGGACTCCAAAACTGAAAACACGGCAACCCTACTAATGTATTTACTCCCTATCTTTGCATGGAGAGTTTGTCTTGATGTAGAGGTGGATTCTCAGGATAGCGTGGGATATCCCCTCCATTTTGGCCTCAACTTGAGAGCTTTTTTTGAGCTTGGGAGATGATTTCAGAGAAAACCGGCGGCACCATCGTGTTTCTCGCAAACTTTTACATAAGAAGCAATGGTCAAATTGCAAATCCCTCACACATACACTGAAAAAAATAATATGCTGTTTTAGCATCTAGGATGTCAAAAATGTGTCTGGTGATCCCAAGATGCTGCCTTTACTGCTCCCGCGGTTGATTTTGCATTCACAGGTTGTAAAATTAACTGCGGGGGCAGTAAAGGCAGCATCTTGGGATCACCAGACACATTTTTGACATCCTAGTTGCCAAAACAGCATATTATTTTTTTCGGTGTACAACATCTCCATTTCCTGGACCTAAAATTCGGATTGTCTCTCACCGAATGGCATGCCGCACGTGATTCGTAAAATGTGAGGCTGTATGAAGGTCAAAAGCGAAAATGCAGCTTGTCGGAAGCCCTCAGCGATCGGCAGAGGCGAGGTCCGGTTGGATCGGGGATCCGAGGAGGGGCATGCACCTCGCGACCTGAGCTCCTCGTCCACGCCGGTTAGTCTACCATGGTCACCATCCCGTGGACCGTCTCTACCGGTAGCCGCGGATTTTAAGCCAGATCCGCCGGGTACGGCGAACTGCAACCTTTTTGCGGAAGTTTCCAGCGTCGCGAGTTTTCCAACCACCGAAGGTTTTGCATCCGTCAATTGTGTTTGTGTATTTTCAGTTTGGAATCTAGGAGCTCTTATTTAGCAGTTTTAAAGTGTGGAAAATTAAAACTGTCTCGAACTCGTCAGAAGTTTTAATTTTCGTTATCGTAGTTAGTGACGCTCAGCTATAGTTTTAAGGAGTGCGTTTATTGCGAACCAGCCGGATTCTTTATTTCATTTTTATTTTTTGGTCGTTGCTCGATCACGTGTTTTAACCGTGGATGTTGGGGCACACGTTCCGTAGTTTTCCGGAATGTGTCAGTCTTAGACTGTCCGGAACTACGCCTGATTCTAGTCATACGCGGGTCGTGTGTATTAATTTTAAAAGTTTAGGGACACGGCATACAGTAACCGTCCAGAAACTCATCCCATTCTCGTTTTGAGCAAGTTGTGTATCAACGGTAAAAACTAAGGAGACTCATTTAGCAATCGTCCCGAATGCACCAATTGTAGACTGTCCGGAACCGTATTTGACTCCTCGCGTTGCTGTCCGGAGCGTTTTAGTCGCTCACTGCACGAAACATATCCGATTCTCGTTGCACTCGGTCATGTGTTCACTGCAAAAAAAGAGTCGGATGATTTCGACACAGCCAACGTCACTGGTAGGAAAACACTAAATTTATGGAAATTCACTTATTTTCGCGGTAGAACGCTCATTCACGAACAATCTTGGCTATCTTGGTTTGATATTGAAATCTAAGGATGGCAGTGACATTTTTTGTGGCAGAAGGTTGGCTGCCCTTTTAAGCCCCAAGATTTCCATATTTCAGCGTGCCCGTACTCTTCCTATATGTATAGGTACTATAGTGTACGTAAGGAACAGGCACTCGCTATCATTAGCTATCCGCAGTGTCCGAGACTCAAACAAAAAGTTACGGGCTATGTAGACATACCGTCCGTTCCGGGCTCAGAGGCCGAATGTGCCGGGTGCTGAAGCCGTAGCTTCGATCGCTCCGGGTGCTACGTCCGGAAATTCCGGCCCCTGAGCCCGGAACGCGGACGGTATGTCTATATACCGCGCAAGTACGGCTTTCACGGCCGGAGTTTTTTTCAGTGCAGTTGCAGACCGTCCCAAAAGTTCAAAAACTCTTTCGATCCCATCGCGTGTTTACGCTGTGAACGCACTGACTCGCAATCAGTAGTCGTCCGGTGTGCATCAGTCGCGAACCGTCCATTTCTCGTCGCGGGATTGCATGTTTTAACTGTTAAGTTTAGGGACACTCATCTCAGCTGTCCAGCCGGTCGGAGCCGCGCAAAAGGCTCGATCAGTGAGCACTTGAGGACCCTCCACGCGGTCGTGGGTGGAAGTCGCCAGAAGTGGAAGCGTATCTCGACGTCGTGAGTGCGGCCGCGGTTTATCTCGAGTACCCGGCTTTGTTTTGGCTCCGGGCGCTTTGCCGCTTTCGGGCCGGGGCTCCAGTCGTGATTTCGGCACCGCGTCGATACAACGGGATCCCTCCGACGCACCCGCCAGTTAGCTTCGTTAGTCCCGAGTCCTGCCGGCGCCGTCCCCCTGACTTTTATGTTCCTCTTGCGCGTCGTTACTGTGCGTGTGGGTCACCTGTTTCCGTTTTTTTGCGCCCGCTCATTATCCCACCCGTCGCGGTCACCTACCCGAGGGGGGTTGTGATTCCCACCCCCTTGGGATTCGGCGTTTATTATACGGGTGGAAATAAGTGAAGAAAATCGACTTTCAGGTCCATCGACGAACACTCCATTTGGTTGGATTTTATTGCCTCCTCAAGGTGAACTCTTGCGTTTTTCGTGAAGCTGGAACACCTCGTGTCTCGTTATAGGACGTTTTTGGCCCTCCTGCCGCATTTTATTGTAATTTAGGGAAACTGTCCGTTTGTCATTTAATTCGGACCGCGTTAAGGAGAAAGGAACCAAGCCACATCAGATATCATTGGAAAAAAACACATTGGATCTAGAGTCCAGGCTCTTAAAAACATCGACAAGAAAAAGTACTCTTGATTCAATCAGATTTAAGCTTAAATCAAGTACCAAGCTCCAATCCTCTTAATGTGAGCGGATTTCCTTTTGATTTAAGCTCAAATCTGATTGAATCAAGAGTCCTTTTTCTTGTCAATGTTTTCAATAGTCTGGACTCTAGATCCAATTTGTTTTTTTTTCCAGTGATTGCCAAATTTCATTGGACACTTTAATATTTTACAAGAAACCGGATGTGCGGATTTTTCTGCGAACAGTGAATTTTTTGCATAGTACGAAGCAAATTCCTTGAAATTTCCATAAGAATCCGCGCAAACGTTCTCTTGTAAAAAATTAAATTGCCCACTTAAAGGCAATAGCTTGCGTGGCTTGGTACATTTCTGCTAAACACGGTCCATTTATTGTTGTGTAATTCGCATTCGACCCCCTGTGATTATATTTAAAAAATGTGATAATTGTCAGGCAAAATGTACTTTGAGGTGGGGGAAAATGAGATAACTATACAGCAGCTTGAATCAGAGACAAAAGCTTGAATGGGTTAATTCTGCATCAAGTAGTGTAAGAACACCCAAAAATTCTTAAAAATTGGCCTTAATTTAGGAGTAATCTAAATTTTTGACGTCGAAAAATGAGTAATTCTGGAAAACTGCTGTTAAAGCTTGTATGTAACTTGAGAAAGTGAATGGAGTATATTGACGGTGTAAGTCGGCAATCACATTAGTAAACTGTAAGATAATGATTCAAAAGAGTCATTTTCGTCTCCCTCTGGATGCTCCTTNNGGGGGGGGGGGGGGGGGGGGGGGGTGTCCACAAAATTGGAAACGAGATGGACCTCAAAATGGAGTTGGATCAAATTTGAGGAACATCCACGGGAAAGCAGGAAATGACTTTAGTGTATCGTGTTCTTTAAAGGGCAAACAAGAAAGAAATGGGCTTTAAGTTTAAAAACCTTGAGTATCAACTCATGATCGAATTTCAAATTTTAAGTTTTTATATTTTCTTGCAGGATACTTTTTTGATTCTTATTTTAAAAATTTTGCGTCATCCTGAACTGGTTTCAAACACCGAGTCGGTGTTTCCTGTGAATCTCGTTCCACGCATCAAAATAAAACAAAAAATCTATCTCTAATAACTACTGAAACTGCCTTTTTTCAAGTTTTTTTTTTCATGGAAACACTGACTTAAGGCTGTGAAAAATTTTAGTAGAATACAGGAAATCGGGGTTTCCCTTTAATTTCTCCTTTTCCAAACATTTTTGCTGGTAGATCCATTTTCAAAGTGTAAACTTGCGCGGTGCGATTACGTGTGTCCATTTTTTGTACTTTCGTTCAAATGGGCCTGTTGCAAACTTTTGCTAGAGCAAAACTAAGAGTTGTTTCCTGCAGATAATGCTTCAAAAATCATGATGAGCGCATCGGCAAAGTCTGAAATGCACTCATAACTTCACAATCTGCGTAAGATTTTTGCGGTTTTTTGAGCTTCCCGCTTCGAAAACGATACTACGGTACAGGTGAACATTTTGTTAGAGGAGTCGTTCCATTGGCGACAATACTCATCATGGCCGACGCCAGTCCGCCAAAACACGTGTGATGGGACGAGATAACACCTGAACAGGATTAAACCATATAACAATCGGCGTGTTTACGTTCATATTTTCCTCGCCCGCCTTAATTGACCTTGAACTCTCCTCGAATTACGCGAGGAACTGCGCAAGCGTCGGCCATGATGAATATTGCCGACGATGGAGCGACTCCTCTAACAAAATGTTCACCTGTGCAGTAGTATCGTTTTTGAAGCGGGAAGCTCAAAATAACGCAAATTTCTTACGCAGATTGTGAATTTGTGAGTGCATTTCAGACTTTGCCGATGCGCTCATCGTGATTTTTGAGGCATTATCTATAGGAAACAACTCTTCATTCTGCTCTAGCAAAAGTTTGCAACAGGCCCATTCCTGTAACTTGGATTTCCTTTCGATCTTGTCCCCTGTAATGGGACTGCTCGATGCATACTGCATAGTAGAAAAATAAACATGCAGGTTATTCTCAAAGGAGCCATTCTCAGAATATCCGTTCCAAACACCAATGTTAGTATAATAGATTATACAACGTGTTAATAACAACGTGTTTCAGGAAGTACAGAAGTGTTTAAAAACGTAGTGTCTGTTGTTTTTAAAGAAACAAGTGATGTCACAAACTAGGGAACTGCTTATTTTATCATAGTCGAGACCGATATATATCACTTAAAACGCGATACAGAACCAAAGTGTAGATAAATTCCTTTTGTTTTAAGACTAAAAACTTGACTTCTGGATAAAATACTATGTGACGTAACTCCCATGTAAACAAGCTGAAGTACACTGGAAAAAAAATTTCTTGAGGTATTATTTTGACTAAAAGCGTCGTTTCTTGTCGACAGTTTTTTTTAAATCTGTGTGGATCTAACTTTAAGTCAGTTTTTTTAGTTTAAGAAACTTTGTTTTGTTATTGTATTCTTAACTCAAACTCAAAGATAGCAAAACAACGTTTCTTTAACTCAAAAAAACCAAATTTTGTCGACAAGAAATGACGCTTTAAGTCAGGATAAGAACTCAAGAAAACATTTTTCAGTGTTTGCTAAAATGAAACCAATTTACTTTTTCTAATTCAACTTAATTTATTCACATACCCCTATATTGAGACAAAATTGACTACGATTGATCGTTAATTGCTCATGTCTGCCTACTTATCGGGTTTTCTCCTTTTTATTTACCTAAGGAATTTGCATAAGTACCCACCATTTTTATCATATCAGTGTGTAAATAATATCACTCATTAGATTTAGATTGACGCGTCGGTTTTTGTTGATTTTCTTCCGCCAATCCCCTCCTCATCCAAAGGAAAAATATTTTCTCCTTTTTTCGTGAATATTGTCACGAGAAAATCACGTCTCAACCCGTCTGTTTTGTGTTGTGATTGGCATACTAATCCTCAGCCCTTTGAATGAGTCTGGCCGCAATCTCTGTGACGTGTTTCTCATTTGTCATGCGAGATGTTTTAATCACACCACTTGTACATATCATGATCTCATTTGAAATAGCATTATAATTTCATTTTAGACCACCGAGAAAGAGTGACGTTAGTCCGCAAAAACTCAAAATCGAGTCATTGATTTGATATCAGTGTAAAGAGGATTGTCCTACGAACATTGTAGGGAATAATGGTAAATCGCAAGCTACAGAGGCGGTCTAAAATTTACATTTCAATTAACGAGGGGCTTGGAGGATAAGGCGCATAAGTGCAGTTTTTGAAGATTGAGATGTCAATGATTTCACGTGAAACTAGTCTGAATGCATATTCTATTAAAAATTAGCTCCCAAATTCCAATCTTTAAGCATCAAAAAGTCAGTTTGAACTTTCTTTCCGCCATAAGGATCCATGTAATTTTGAAACTTCAAACACGTATTTCTCGAAGTAGCAAACAGTGTGCTTTTGCGTCTTATGCTCCAAGCCCCTCAAATGTAATTTTGGCAAAAACTTATTTAAAATTATAATTTGCCTTACTCAGAGCACGAACCTGCCGCTATGTACAGTGCAGCTCTATGCCCTCTATTTTCAAAAAATTAACCTAATCGCTCGCAACAGGACACTTGAGATAGTTTTCTTTGGAAATTTTAGCCCGAGTCTTTACTCAACCGGACAAATATCGCTCTACTTAGAATTTTCCGTCGTGGATAAAGATTTCTTTTCCCGCCGACGGTCAAATTTATAATTCAGATGAGGTTACGTGGAAAAATTTCTCTTGTGATTTCATATTTTTAGCTTCGGCTGTATTTTTAAATCTCTCTTTATTTGCTGTCTCAGAATCACCTGATAGCATTTTTAAAGAAGAGGAGGTAGTTAGGGGCATCTTTAGGATTATGCAGTACGAAATTAGATTACATTTTTGGATATTAGTTCGTTGAACTTTGAATCAAGCAGAATGAAATTTGAATTTTTGCTTCAATTTCAGTTCTTTTGGTGTTATATCTGTGAGATATAGAAACCTATTCTCTTGCTCAAACTTGCATAGTTGTCCTCAAAATTCTTTGGATACACTCGTTTTTTTCTGACTTTTACTTCCTCATAATACTCTAATTTTGCTGTGTTTGAGCGCAAATCGCATTTGTGCCAAAACACAATCGTGTCACAATTGTGTTTGGCAGTAATCGCTTCACAAATCCACCTCTGGATCAAATGAAACAGGTTGTCCAATATCGATAAATATGGAAAATTTAGAAATGTTGTAGAAAATGTGCATCAAACCCAGACATTTTTTCGTGCCTTGTCATTGGTGTCATCGTAAAAGTACGCGAATTTGGAATTTTTCAATTTTGAAGGATTCTCCGCACAAAAAAAATATTTCATAAAATAAGTCTGCCTTAAGTTTCCGTCGGTGGTAAGGTTTTTATGATTTAAAATTCAATGAAAGAAACCAAAAGCTCGCATTCCAAAGTTCACAAAATTTCCGATCCGGTTTTTCCTTCTTCAGAAAATCAATCCGCATAATTTCGGAAAAAATTCTTAACGGAGCAATTCATAACTCAAAGTAAGAAATGAGACAGTTTTCCCTGTCAAGTAAAAAAATGAAATTTGTAATGTCGCAAATCTAGATCCGCATAATTTCGGAAAAAATTCTTAACGGAGCAATTCATAACTCAAAGTAAGAAATGAGACAGTTTTCCCTGTCAAGTAAAAAAATGAAATTTGTAATGTCGCAAATCTAGATACATATTCTTAAACACGACAACTGATGCTTCACCCCTGAAACCGTCCACAAG